GCTGCCTTTAGCAAGTTTGGTGGGGAGGGACTTTTCTAGGCTGGGCGACTATCAATCTATCCAGTGCTAACCAATAATTCCCTCGTGCCTCTGATTTCAAAGAGAGCATCGCCTGCCTGTTCTGTTCCTTTTCCCCTCTCTTTTGTCTCTTTGAAGCAGTCAGAGCGTCTGTTGAGGTCTTTTGAAGCAAAGCAGTCATGTTGGTCAGTTTGATGTTGGATCTGTTCAACGGTGAGTAAAGAAAATGGTTTTTTAATGTAACTTTTAAGTGTAGAAACCCACAGACTTCAAGTCAGGGGAAACATAATCCAGAGCTCAGAAAATCTCTTGATTTCTTTTCAGTTACTTCTTACTGAGTTGCTTTTCAAACTACAACTCCCAGAATGCCCCAGCTGGCATAAAAGCACATACAGAACTGGGCAAATGTCCTCTCTAACCAAGGGGGTGGTTTCTTAAATCACACTACTTGGAAGATGGAATTGGCAACAGGATTTTCTGACAACCGGAACCAAGCAAAGCAAATTCCTATCTGGGCTGAATCTTTCCTATTCCCTTCCCATGCTCTGTTGCTCAGTGGCACATGGAGAATCAGGCAATATCTCCAGGGGTCACAATTCCTTCTTATCTTGGTCAATTGATAAGGAGAGTTTCTGTCCTGATTTGCAAGCAAGCCTACTTTCTTGCTTAGCTCTACCGCTTGCTTAGGGCTGCAAGCCGTGATCAGGGTCAATGACCCGTCGAAGGGTAAATAAATGGTTTCTCCAATCCCTGTAGGAACTGTGGCGCTGAGTGGTGAATTCTATATATTTGTTTGTTTGTTTGTTTGTTTGTTTGTTTGTTTGTTTCCCACCTATTTAGTCAATTACGACCACTCTAGGCAAAACGTAATCTAAGAAAGCACCCTGGACAAGCTCTGAGGGATGTACCATATTTTTCCATGTATAAGACTAAAATCTTTTGTCTAAAATCTTAAGACTAAAAATTGAGGGTCGTCTTATACATGGAAATAAGCTGAGGAGAGAAAAAATACAAGTGGAGGGGAAAGCAGGGATCAAAGCGATCCCCTCCACTTGCTAAGCCTTAGCAAAAGGAAAGCAGGGATCAAAGGGCTGTAGGATGGCTTTGATCCCTGCTTCTCCCTCTGCTTACTAAGTCCCATGGGTCTTAGCAAAAGGAGGAGGGAAAGGATCAAAGCAATCCCGTGGCTGTATAAGGGGGAAAGGGATCAAAACGATCGTGCAGTCATGGGATTGCTTTGGTCCCTTTCCCCTTCCTTTTGCTAAGCCCCACAGGGCTTAGCACGAAGGGAGAAAGCAGGGATCAAAATGATCCTGCACTGCTTTGATCCCTTTCCCCCCACACTTGCTAAGCCCCACTTAGATTTCTTAATTTTGGGTTAGAAAAGTGGGGGTGTCTTATACATGGGGGTGTCTTATACACAGAAAAATATGATGAATCCCGATTTGCTTTCTTCTCAAACCCGAAATCTAAGCCTGCTGGATGGGCTGTGTATCCCTTTGGAAACACTGCCCTTTGGGGGCTCAATGTGCATGTACGTGTGTGTGATTGCTTCAGCGCCCCTCGCCACGTCCCTCTGCATCCTTCTCTTTCTCTTTTGCTCAAAGAAGCTCTGTGGAAGCCTGCTTTATTTACCTCTGCTTCATCCCAGGCGACAACATCGGTGAAGACCCCGTAGCAGGTGTCCTCATAGAACATCCACTCTGAGGGACATTTTTCTTTACATTTTGCACCTATAATCAAATAAATCATCATGTGTGCACGCCGGCGCAAGCAGAGAGGGAAAGATGGGGGCAGGCTTGCACAGTCAAGGGTTGGAGGGAAGGCGCAGAGTAGATGCGTGGACCAGTTGCATGACCGGCGGTGCAGTGGAGGAACATGGAGGGAAAGGAAAACTGTGGTGTGGGTAACTAAACCTCCCCGTGCTCCCAAGCGGGCAGGGAAAACAGATTACCGTCTATGCAACCATGATGTCCAAGCGTAACGTTAGGTGTGCTGGATCTGGAGGAGCCCAGCCTCAGAAACAGGGTGGGAGCCAGCAGGCAAACAAAGTAGACCCTGTAGTCAAAGAGAGGTCCCATTTGCCTGGGAAGAAAGAAAGGGGGGGGTGTAGACAAAGGAGAGTTGGTTACAGCGGTCCCTTACAGCTTCCATTTCAGTGGGGTTGCCTCAGGTCCTGTTTCCTGTATCCTTACATTCAAGAGCTCCAGACACTTCCCTTTAAAAAAAATTTTTAAGTCAATGAGCCAAAATCCTCCTCCTCTTAGAACTGCAGGGCTGGATGGCCCCAGAGATCATCCTGTCAAAGAGGTCCAGTGGGGAATCAAACTCCCAACCTCTGGCTTCACAGTGTGGGAAACCTCTGCTTCAAGGTTGTAGCTGCATTCTGTTCCAGTCATGGGCACACACTCTTGGCAGGAAGCGGTGGCAGCCAGCAGGTGGGGTGACCCCTTCTTCTGCCCTTTCGCTTAGAGGTGAAGCATAAGATCAAAGGGTTATTTCAGTCAATCCTAGTTACAATTAGGTAACTCGTATCCTATCTGAATTCTAACAACATACTGTGTAACTCATGCTAAAGAGCTCTCAGGGTGTTGCCTGTAGGCTCCGCTGGCTCGGACGTCCGCGGTCGACTCCTTGGCTCTCTCTCTCTCTAAGGCAATTAGCCTTCCTTTGTTCTGCGATCACCCACATCACAGCTTGATACCTAGTTAGCAGTATAAAATCACCGGGACCTTCCACGTGTACAAACATTAATAGTATTATTGAGTGCCTCACAAGGTATAATGTCCAACACTGTTTAACATTTCCTTTCTCAGCCCTCTTGGTTTTTTAGCTCCTAAGAGAAAAAGAAAAAATTCTGCCCATATCCAATGCTACTGAATAAGGTGCCAGCTGTAGTGGAAGGACCAAGTGACTGGCCGCCAGCCAGCGGGCTCTTCCTCCTTGCTCTTGAGTAACTCCATTGCTGCTGATGTGAAAATGGTATCTGTTCAGCCCCACATTTTTGAGCTGCCTAGTTCAGAATCTTGCCTCAGTCGCTCATATCACCATTGTGCATTCACTTGGGTCCTCTTTTCCCCCAAAACCTTTTCTTCCTTGATCATTTTCTGTACTGGTCAAGTTGTCAGAGTAACAGTGTTAGTCCCTGCAAGCATTATAGGTGAAAATAAAATAAAAAGTTAAAACAGACAAAAACGTGATGGCACCCTAAAGACTCACTTTAGGGTATTCGCGAAGGCTTTCACAGCCGGGATCTAATGGTTGTTCTGGGTTTTTCGGGCTCTTTGGCCGTGTTCTGAAGGTTGTTCTTCCTGATGTTTCACCAGTCTCTGTGGCCGTCTCTTCAGAGGACAGCAACCTGTGCTCTGAGGACAGCAGAGCTTCAGATGCTTCAGAGGACAGCAACCAAAGCACAATTTGCTGTCCTCTGAAGATGCCCACGGCCACAGAGACGGGTGAAACGTCAGGAAGAACAACCTTCAGAACACGGCCAAAGAGCCTGAAAAACCCAGAACAACTCACTTTTATGTTTTTGGATGTGAGCTTTTCGTGAACAAGTCCACTTCCAATTTATTGTACCAGTCAACAAATTTGTTTTTTTTCTTAAGGAGGGTGGCAACAGCTTTGGCTTCTTCATGGAGTCCCCCCCCCCTCGCCTTGGTTGTCCGTCTCCGACCTCTGTTCTGTCCCACCAGGTTGAGCTCCACTTCATGCAGAAAACAGAGAATTGGTACATCGACATGTTTTGGTGAATGGCCTTCTTCAGAAGCAAGCTTTTAAAACTTTGTCAGCTCCTTTGGCCTGCCTTAGCTCAAACTTTTTAAACAAGAATAAACTTTATCATGTCGGTTTTTTTTGTTTTTTTGTTTTGTTTGTTTTTTGCATCCCGAGACCCAGCTTCTTATTTGGAATTCTGCTACATACCTTGCTTTAGAGGCATTTTCTCCTCCAACTTTCCTACTGCTTGTCTTCTCTAGGAGCTGAATTTTTTCCACCCTGTGCCACCTCCTCCAGAATAATTCCCCCCCCACCTCAGTCGCCCACAGGATCCTTCCCAGATGGACCTCATCCTTCTTAAATAGCAGGTTGCCAAAGCTGAGCAAAGACTCCAAATGAGATCTTACCAGTCTTACGTGGAGTGCTAGGACTTCTCCTTCCCCGGGTGCTGGATCCGTCCTTCCTGCTGACCTGTTCTCTGAAATGTAAAACTCGTCGTTCATGGAGAGAGATACGGATCATAATTTGCTTCTGCAGAAGCAGGACACACGGACCATTTTCACTCAGAAGGATGGGAGGGAGGGACGGCAACCAATGGCCCAGCCTCCAGGAAGCGTGAAAGAACCCAGTGTGAAGCCGGAGAGCACGCACTGTAATGTTACCAGATGAAAAGAATACATGCGCACCAGTGGGGAAAGTGGAAGCCTGGAAGATCGTGTGGCTGAGATCCAGTAGATCACCTGATTGATAAGAAGATAGGGATACATAAAATCTATAGCATCATGATAAAAAGATGGGGGGGGAGGAATTCTGCTTGCGAGCTGTGGGAGGGGATGTGGCATGGCTGGGGAGGGAGGAACAAACCAGCGAGAGAGAGAAAGCGCAGTAGAATGAGAGGAGAAAAAAGAGCAGAGGCAGAGAGAGAGAGAGAGAGAGAGAGAGAAGGCCAGGTGGGTCAAGGGAGGGAAAGAACATTGAGCTCCATGAGAAAGGAAGGGCCTCGGGTGGGAGAGGGAAAGGAACGCTGTTTGGGTTTTAGTCCAAACCTACCATAACACACAATGTCGTCCCCAGAGCACCCCCTTCTGGAACTTGCCTCCTAAGTAAAAAAGAAAGTAGAGAAACAGGAAGAGAGAGAGAGAAAGAACCACCCTGCTCGAAACAGGAAGAGAGAGAGAGAGAGAGAGAACCACCCTGCTTTCTTGCCAGCTGAGTGAGCCTCTCGGGAGACCACGCACAGCGCTCAGAACATGGCATTTTAAAAGGAACTCGTGGTGTTACTCATTAGTCCGTGGCGGCTGGACTGACCTATGGTTTGTTACCGTTGCTCCTCCATTTATTGCCTTCTGCATTATTAGCAGGTTGCATTGTCTTGACCAGCAACAGGCCAGGAAAATTGGGCTGGATAAACTGCAGCAGTCAAGACTGTCTTGAGCAGCCTGATCACCCCTGGCTCCAGCACCTTGTCCAGGAAACAGCTTTGGCTGCCACCGTCCTTCAGATCCACCAAGGACATCTTCAGGAGCAAATGCCAAGACTTCTCAATCCAGGTGGCCAAGGTTGCCCTTTCTGTCAATGACCCAATGGTTGCTTCTTGACCCAGCTGGCCACTCCCATCCCCTTCTAGGTATTTTTTAGCCCTGTGGAACACAGTTTGAGCACACCCAAGTTGAGTCATCCTGGCCGGTGATCCGTGCCCATTTTCCCGACCCGCGACCATTCAATCTGACTGCCCACCCCCCAATCCTGCAAAAGAAGAGCAGGCCTCCCCCTGGAAGACGAATCCTGTGACCAAACTCCCACTGAACTCTCAAGCTTAAGAGAATCAAAGTGTTTCAGGAACAAGTCAAGTGTTCCCCGAGATCCCCTTCAAGGGTTTCATAAGATCACTTTCAAGAGTTGCCACCTTTGACATCTACCAGGAAAAAACAAAAACAAAAAAAACCCCACAGTGCAGCGCTGAGAAGTCAAACTGGTGGCAGAAAAAGTAACCCTTTTTTGATTGATTGATTGATTGATTGATTGATTGATTGATTGATTGATTGATTGATTGATTGATTGATTGATTCATTCATTCATTCATTCATTCATTCATTCATTCATTCAATTTCTATACTGCCCATCGGGCTACACAACCCACTCTGGATGTTTCACAACATGATAAAAACAGCAGATAACACTTTCAATAAATTCACAGCATAACAGAACAAAAAATCAAACACATCAGTCATTCATTCATTCAATTTCTATACTGCCCATCAGGCTACACAACCCACTCTGGGTGGTTCACAACATAATAAAAACAACAGATAACCCTTTCAATAAATTCAGAGCATAACAGAACAAAAATCAAACACATCAATCAACTTAAACCAGCAAAGAAAATGTTTTTTTTTAAAAAAGACAACATAAAAAGAATTAATATTTTATCTTTTCTTAAGTTGCTTAAGCTGCTTACAGTCACCTTTCCTCATAAAACTTAACAAGGCAGTTTACAAAACAAACCAATGTCATGAACGAATGATAAGAGAAATACCCAGAATTCAGAAAAGTCAGAATCAAAGCCCAGGAATCACGCATACACACAATGAATATATATATTTATTAACAGATAGATTACCTGTCTGCTTTGATCCACAGAAACATTTACAGGTGTATAGCTGCCTCTTTTACTGATGGATCAACAGCTTTATAGCATGAAGAAAGGTCTCCCAGGTTCCAAAGGCCACAGACTCAGGGTTTCATCCTGATTTCTGGAACATGGAGAAGCATGCCCAGGGTGGTGGAAGTGATTAGGCAATAGGTGTCATCATGGTTCACAAACTGGAAGGAGTTTAGCAAAGTGAGGATGATGGACTTAAAGGTGGGTTACAGAAGTACCAGGTACGCAGAAAGTTCTCACCCTGTTCTATTCAAGATCTCATCTGAAACCTTGTTTTAGATTCTGGGCAGCATTTCAAGGTGGACCTATTTTGCACGTGAGAATGGCTAATGGTAGGATTCCAAAACATCTCCTGTATGGAGAATTAGTGCAGGGAAATTGCCACAGAGGGAGACCACAGCTGCAATACAAAGAGATCTGCAAGTGGGATCTGAGGGCCTTAGGAATGGACCTCCACAGGTGGGAAACCCTGACATCTGAGCGTTCAGCCTGGAGGCAGGCATTGCATCACGGCCTCTCCCAATTGGAAGAGACCCTTGTCCAGCATGCTGAGGCAAAGAGGAAGTCACAAAAGCAGCAAAACCAGGGAGCTGGACAGGGGACAGATTGTATTGGTCTTCAGTGTGGAAGGTGTCAAGGTAAATTTACAGGCCTGATCAGAATAAAGTATATTAATGAGAAGCCATGATGAACAGATGTGTAGAAACTGAGTCATGATGACTCAGCAGTGCTGACTCATGCATGATGCAACACATAATGTGATTGGACACAAGCAGATCTGTATATGTATATATATGGGAAACTGAACAGTTGATGTATCTTCCTGCTTTGTGGTGAATGCTACCTGTTATGCTGCCAGACTGAACTGCTGTAAATATCTTGTAAATACACGTTGGTGGAGGAGAAGCTGCTGGTGTGTGTGTGAGTTATTCTGGACTACCTGGACTGTTTAATACTCTGCTAAACCTGCTGTTCTTCTGTGTTTTTGCGCTAACAGAAGGGATGGTCACTCTCAAATTGGGCTCATCAGCCACACTAGACGGAACAGCAGAGCACGTTACCCTAGTCTCTCAAGACTGAAGGGATGCTTAATTTAATTTATTTTGCACAGAGAGCTACACATGTAATGAAGAATCCAGGAAGCAGATCCTCTGAGAGTAAAAGGAGAGGTGGGTGTGAGCAGGAGGAAAGACGACTCACCAATCCTGTCTGTCAGAAACAGGACAAGGCGTCGCCAGAGGAAACAAGAGGAGAACACCGCATCTTTCTTGATGGTTCCTAGGAGCTCTTAGAAGACAGCCTGGGATTACAACCTCCTCATTGTCTGGTC